GATGACATTATCTATATATTCCATTAAGTTATAGAAGATGACATTATCTATATATTCCATTAAGTTATAGAAGATGACATTATCTATATATTCCATTAAGCTATAGAGGATGACATTATCTATATATTCCGTTAAGCTATAGAGGATGACATTATCTATATATTCCGTTAAGTTATATAAGATGACATTATCTATATATTCTGTTAAGTTATAGAGGATGAAATTATCTATATATTCTGTTAAGCTATAGAGGATGAAATTATTTATATATTCTGTTAGGTTATAGAGGATGACATTATCTATATATTCTGTTAAGTTATAGAGGATGACATTATTTATATATTCCATTAAGTTATAGAGGATGTGTAAGTAGTAATTCTTCCAATAAAATCCAATAGGTCATGTCTGCAAACCTCAAAACCTACAGCCAAAATGATAATATCATTATTTGAAAAGGTTGATGCTAATGACCACTCCATTATATTTTATTTGATGTGCAGTAAGTTGTTAATACCTTCACTGTATTTATTATTTGATATTCAACCATGTCAGACTGTGTATGGAATTGTGTTTTACACTCCTTAGACTTACAGCTTGTTTCTATGATATATTACTTAAGTAATCAAATGAAATACATTCATCGATAAACAGTGGCTCAGAAGTTTAGGTTTAAATTAAATAATTGTTTAGTTAATTACATAAAAGTTTGCTTCACAGTATGCCCACTTTAGAAAGAATTATTCACTTATCAATCATATCACAGTTTTAGGTTCATGTAATTCTATAACACACTTATTCATGTTTTTATATTAATCAGGCTTCTGAGAATTCAGTGTATATATATATATATATATATAATCTGTTCTTACTGCATTAGTTAAAGATTGGTTGAGAGTACAGCTACCAAATTTGGTATATGAAATTTTTCATATCAATCAGATTTCTGCGTATTCAGTGTATGTATATATATATATATATAATTTGTCATTATGGAAACAGTTAAAGATTGGTTAAGAGTACAGCTACCAAATTTGATATATGACATTTTGCATATCATTTTTTATATTAATCAAGTTTCTGATTTGTCCTTATTGGAACAGTTAAAGATTGGTAAAGAGTAGAGCTACCATATTTGGCACATGCTTCTTTTTAGCATGTCTTGCAAGTAAAACAATACATTCTGTATTGCCATAAACTCTTATAGATTATGTTTAATGATTAGAGAATTTAATGGCACGGGTTTTATATTTGCTTCTCACACATGTTTTAAACCAACTCTAGTTTCCATTGCAGTAAATGACCAACAAATTTCCAACATCATTCAAAGGTTTTTGTAAGGTTCAATATGGTTAAAAGTGGAAAAAATAAAAATATTTAGAATTAAACTGTGAAAAATTGATATGTTACTGCTTTGCATAATGAAAATAAAAACGGAATGCTGTATAAAAACATGCATAGTGTTTCAAAGAGTATAATTCAAAGTGTATAGATTATTTTGCTCTAACCTGAAGTTTAAAGTCTAATAAGAGAAAGAAATATAAGTTAAAACATCCAAATGAGATGATAGTGTTATTTCAAGGATTTTGAAAGATACCGTATTTTTTTGATGTATAAGACACACTTTTTTACCACAAAATTGGATGTCAAAATCTGCTTGTGTCCTATACACCGAAGGTATGAATAATATATATGTATATATATATATATATACGATATACACAAGCCATGTGTAAATATATTTAAATAGGCATGCATAGTTTAGTTCAGTTGAATGTGTTATTTATAATAGTAGTAGTTGTTTTTTTCTTTTAAAAACATAACTATTTATAATGCTCCCTAAATAATGAAAATATAAATTACAGTAAAAGCAATGAAAATTTTGTAGGTTTTGAACCAAACTAAATAACAGTAAACCTTATTTTTTATTTACGGTATTTTATTATTTTGTTGTCTTGAGCTCTTTTGTGTTTAG